TGACTGCTAACCAGAAGGCTGGTAGTTCAAACCTCCTCGGAAGGCAGACTGGGCAATCTACTTCCGTAGACATACCACCTTGGAAACCCAAGGAGGGGTTGTATGAGTTGGAATTGATTTGATGGCAGAGTTTGGCTTTTGATAGGAGAGAGGGAGGATGGAAACAAGTATGACAGCCTTTAATTCAAAGCTATGAATGTAGTGAAGTCCAAGAAAAAATGAGGAAGCAGTGAGAGACTAAGAAGCAAGGTAGCACACCACCGGAATTCAAATAAGTAGTTCATGAAGGACTGGTCAGCCCTGCATAACAGGGCTGACAACGTGGACGTCACTGCTGAAGCAGCAGTCAGTGGTGTGGCAAGCCTACATGGAGTGGTTTTTAAGAGTGAAAAATGGAAAACTAGTACAGAAAATTCTTTTGAGTAGTTCTATAAAGAGCAGAGAAATGGAACAGTAACTACAGACAGAAGGGTCCCAAGATGAAACCATGCCGAGTCACATAATACATTTTTTTAAAGGTCATTGAATTCTCACACCATTTCAGAACAGCGAGGAAATCCCATAATGTTCTCTTTCAATTATTTCTACCTACTAGAAATTATTCTGCAGCCAAAGATAGATTTTGGCTATTGACAGGCACGGGGCATTTAACGTTAATTGCTAGTGTGAGTTACTACGAGTTTCATGCACATCATTTAGTCCACCAGGAAGGATGACGCTTGATAACTGTGCAGACTCATCGGTTGTTTGCTGTTTCCAAAATGGCCGCTGGGCAGTCACAGCCAATTTCCTTCCTAGTGAGATGCCTACTGTGAGCATTTTCTAAGTATGAATGTTTATGTATGTGACGCAGGTGACATTCTGCAGGGCATCTGAGTCAAAGTGCACTGAGCATTATCAAAAAGGATGAACCAGAGGGAAACAATGCGTTACAAAGAATCTTTACTTTTAAGTGATTACCAGTACATTAAGTAATAACAAGCAACAAGTTCCTGCATTCTATTAACTAGTAATTTCTACTAAGAGACACTAAAAGCAGCCCCAACAACTAGACTAGTACAGGTATCCCCTGCTTTTCCAAAGTTCTCTGCATGACACTTTTATCAAAGACCTACTTTAGTACCTGTTTTCACTAACCAAAAGAAATCTGAAGAGCATTTTCACTTTCAGGAAAAAGGTAAAAAGCAAGACTAGCCTCAATGTTGAGAAGAGGCAGCAGGCACCCCCGGTGGCAAGAGTGCTGCCATCAAGTCCCTCCCCCAGAAACTACACTCAGCATCAAGCTGCCATAGCTTTGAACCGTGTGAACACTATTATGTTAGTGTCAGGTTTCATGGGAACGCTCTAGTTTCAGATAGCAGAAGAAACCTTTATTTGTTGTTTTAACCCTTAAACAAAAAGGATTATTTTAAGGCTGGCTGCTATTCACGCAATTACAAAATAATCTATTTACTACTTTTTCATTGACAAAGCCCCTGACCTTCAAGAAAGCTTTAGGGAAACAAAATATTTAACCCATTTCTTTCTTTAAAGAATATATATATATTTAAAACTAGGTACCTAAGACAGGAAAGTCATATTGCTATGTATGTTGCTTCAGCTAAAAAGATAGGAAAACAGTGTATA